TCTCGTGTTTTCTAATTTATAAAACGAAACTCCACTGAATGAGTGGAATCGAATCAAAGGTTTAGAAGACCATTCGTTCAACTACTCAACCGTAATGTATCGTACAGTCACAGGCCATTTCCTCTGAGTATTTTCAAAACCTCGTGTTTTCTAATTTATAAAACGAAACTCCACTGAATGAGTTAAATGGAATCAAAGGTTTAGAAGACCATTCGTTCAACTACTCAACCGTAATGTATCGTACAATCACAGGCCATTTCCTCTGAGTACGGTTTTTTCAAAACGAATAGTCCGAATGCATGCGACGGAAGACAGAGATGGTCAGTAACATAAACTAAGGTTGAAACAAATCGTGTCATTTTTGCCTGATTCTGTCAGGAAACAGACAGTCGGTTAACATGCTGTTAGGAGATTTTAGACGTTTCTAAGTGATTACGTCCTGTCAGTGAAGATACTCTAAGCCTAAAAGCCGAGAAGCAGTGTACAAATGTTTCAAGCTTATTAAGAACTAGTAGTAGCGCACGTCTCATGAATCTCGGGGGCGACTGGAGCTTGTGACCTCCTGGCTAGTGAATAACTCATATGTAGACAGAACGTAGCGTCAGTCATCGTTCAATCACGGAATCCATGTTGTGACTAGTAAACTAATCACATTACTGCGCAGCTGCATGCAGCCAAACGCTTGAACGATGGGCCAAGAGGTCGTGAGTTTGAATCTCTTTGAAGATTCGTGAGACGCGTGCAGCAAAGACTGGCTTCACATGCGGCACAAAATCCCTACCAGTAAATAGTTATAATTGCTGATGAAAATTTCCGCGATATTCAACAGGGACCTGATAGTTACCAGTTTGCATCTTGCATAACCGATAAGTGGATAGGGACAATCTGGTGATCGATATGTTCTACATTCACTTAGTGTGCCCCCACCGCCTAATGCGACGTTTCACAGTCTCTTCCACGTTTGCGTTTAAATTGTCAATCTCCTAATCTTGCCACTACCTCAACTCGATTCTGGTTCTGATCGACGTGAGACTCTTCATCATACTATTCCATTCATTTCATACGCTTTTTCCATGGTTGAGCAATGTCTGCAACATTTTGCAAATTATTCCTTCACTATATTTGCTCAACATTGCATTAAACTATTGGATCACGTGACCTTATTAGTGTCATCTCTTATGGCATTGTTATTCAGTGGATTTCCGTCCGTCAGCCTCAAGGACAACGTATTCCTCAATCACAGCGATTGATTTACTTATTACTCAGAGCTGTATCATCAACCCACCTATGCCGATGATGTCCGCTGTGATGCTGAACTTGCCTTGGTATGAATCTGTGCTACTTGAATACTTCCCGGATTTTCGACACAGGCTGGTTTCACTTACAGGATAAAATCCCAGTTGGAAAACTGCCAAATCTCCTCACACTACCACCGAGGAGCCCATTTTCTTCGGAAACCTCTGAATGACCAGATAAATGAAAAATTCTGGTGGTTTTCTTTTTAACTTTACAAGGCTCAGTGCATAAACCGGAAGAGGTGTACTACTTATATATGTCAAAGTAGTATACCATCCAGTGTCCTGGTTTATTAACGCCGTGTGTGAAAAACAGTACTAAATTTGATGAAAGAAACTACTCACAAAATTGCTGAAAACTCTTCGACAGCCCAAGACCGGTTTCGCCCTTCTTGGTGCTCATCAGGTAGGCGCAGTTCCCGAGTTTCCCTCAACCTTATGTTCTACTTGAACCCAAATTGGACTGTTTCCGTGTATTTGAGTGTATTTTTTGAGTACTACATTTGCTTTTAACTGGAACTGCAGCTCTAAAACCTGTATCACTTTTCTACTACTGTTAGGCTCGTGTAGTAGCCAGCGCTTACGTAGTTCAGTTTCGACGAATGTTGATGTCGAGAGTCTAATCCCACGAAAATATGAAGATGTAGCCTGAGGGAAAATTTTGAAAGTATGTGGGAATGCTTGACGTCAGAAAGTGGGTTTTTGGTTGACGCTGTGATTTGTCATACAGAGATCTCCCCGGGGATGCCCTAATTCCCCACCTGATCTTTCAGGCTTTTGGGCACTCTGGTTTAGAACTAACAAGATGCCCTCATATGATTTTGAGATAGTTACTTGAGACAAGTGAGGGGAAGGGGAACTGCAAAACAAGTGGTCACAAACGTTGATCTGTAAAGTAGGTTCGAAAACTGGATAGTCACTTGTGATTCACTATTAGAAACACTAGTTTACTCACGTGAACCCCTTTCTCTTCCCAGTAAAAAAAATTGAGCTAAGGGTCTCGTCGACAGATCACACAGGCAGAATGTTATGATACGAGGTGAGCAGACTTTTGGTATTATTGGGTTTCATCTTATGCTGAGAATCTCTTCAAATGATACTTAAATACAGAAAACCACGACCAGCACCTCGAACGATTCCAGAGACTGCCTGTAATATTCTCCAGAGGTGGCGCAGACCTGGCGAGGGATCGATCGTTTTGTTTTAAAACCACCCCTACTTTATGTACTACTGTTCAACCGCTAGTAGTGTAAAATGTTTATTTGTAATCAATCTGAGTGGATCAGGCAGCAAACCTGCTCGACAGTATGGAGAAGGAAAGCTAGGTTTTACTGGAAAATGCTTTTATTAACAACCAAGGATGGATGAAATCCGACAATCAAATGAATATGGCATCCATTGTTGGACCACCATTGATTGCCGCAGTTAACGTTTTTCACAAGGATATATGGAATACATGAGTGCATAAAAGTCGAACTTTATGCTTCGAAAAGGCATGAACAAAAAAGGTGAGGAATGAGGAGGAAACGAAGACAACTCTGGTTATTCATCCGAATGCACGTTGGTTTGGGTTGGATACTCCACTTGTTTAAACGACATCGATGCATATGGTCAAAATTGTGAATATTACCACGAGAAGCTGCAAGGAAAATGATGCCAGCATGTCTCTCAGCAGCATCACACAAATTTATCGGTCCTAGAAAAAACTTCTAAAAGGATAACGAGGAATTACTGTTTACCATTCACCAAGCAATCAGCATCATCCTCGACAGCATGACATCAGTGTTCAACACCGATGCTTCACTGCCGTACAACCACGATTTATTTGAAAGCCTTATTGTAAAGAAAAGAATAAAGGTGGACGGGGGATGGACTTAGTGCTAGCTTAACACAATCATTCCGAGGTGCCTACACCTCCAGACATTTACTCAGGCAATCTGGATAGAAACTGCCAACAAGAACGCCACTGACATCGGTTGGGAGCCATATCTTGTAGTGTCTCCAACCAGGCACAGTGAGGAGCACGCGGTCCCCATCCTGGAAGGCGAGTAGCACCGACAGCACCCAAGCGTTTCGTGATCTCCTTCATACTCCTCTACCAAGTCAAGGATAGGCCCCCTCTCTGTTTACGCCACTCCGGATTGGGCATGGAAAACAGTACTCTCTTCGGCAAACGATGGTTCGGCATACGCAACCCATGTCCCAACCAACGCAGCTTATGGTGCTGGACACATTCTTCAATGGAAGTACCCGTTGCGCACTGGTTGTTTTTAATATTCTGGGTTGACGTGTTACAATTTAATCGTCAACTGACACACACTGTGCACGTTTGCCGTATTATTTTACTAGATCAAAACGTACCGATTTTTAGAGAATAAGCCTTTTGGCAAAAATAACAATACCAGTGTACCTGGATGGAAACGTAATAGTTTACTAATAGATCAGCACAGACTAGGAGTTCTCCGTCTAGAAGGATTTCCGCTTCAAATGAATTTGCATAGTTAGGCGGATCCGAATGGTAATACCAATGTATGCGCTTTACGTTTCAAATTAAATGTACTTAGGTACAATGGTTAACGTTCTGAAAAAAGATGGGACTGATCAGTGTTACGTTCATATGATACTACTTACAGGGTTGACGAATGCCCTACCTGTCCCATCCGTTCGGCGTTGATCAGGCTAACAAATTTTCCTCAATCTCATTCTGCTTTTACACAGTAAATTGGACTTTGTAGAGCTAAATTTCATCTGAAAAGACTCAGGTGAACACTCCTCTTCAGCTATTCGTCAATTGAATGCCCAGCACAAAGACCACATCATAGTTTCTCTGCATTGATATTTGGTATGCCAGTAGACTATGTAGATGGGAGCGCGTCATATATCAGTACCGTGATGTCCTGTGTGTAGGTCAAACGGTGTACTGTGAGGTTGATTTGCGCAACACAGGGAATGTTTCTTTGAGTTTATCGTTGAAAACATCTGAGTAGGCATGTCGAGTTCCCCTTCGATGAGACTGCTATGGGATAATCATGTGAGGATAATGTAGCCAGCACACATGCCAGTGAAATTTTCACGTCCAAACAAAATGATTATGCCACTGTGTAACAAAGATGACTATGTGATTGCCACTGAAACTTTGAAATACTGGTGTCAAGCACAGCACACAAACTGAGTCAAATTTTCAGTAGCTGGAACATTGTGTTATTCAGTCTTAGGCGGCTGAACTTATAATCCTGTCTGTCCCTCTGGTTTTCCGATCAGATACAGAGCAGTCTATAATAGTTATAAGAAAAAACAACTCGCTGAAAACACCCAACGTTATAAACACTTACCAAAATTACGAATGCTCCAATCAGACCGTAAGCAAGGTAGTTCATGTAATAAATGAAGTTCGATTTGAGTGGATCTTTGCATCCCACGTGGACATAACTATTAGCGCTGGTGAACGTCGCTGGGCAGCCAACACCAGTGATTTGATATTTGTCATTCATCATACAGCAAGGAATTGGCGCTGTCAAACCTGATTATTAGAACGGCACACGTGTCAGCATAACTGTGGCGAAAACGGGCGAGCTCACTAATGATTCTCAACAAACACAATATTGGAACAAACTAGACAGTACCTTGGTTGAATATCTGTATTGCTCACTATTCATCTCTGTTTTGTGAAATATCTCAAAATTAAGTACTGGATGCTTTGG